TAAGTCTTTTGGCCGTGGCCCGTCAACCTTAAGTTGTTATTTTCTTCTTGTTTTCACCGCTTCATTGCTGACGACTCGTGCGATTTGAAGAGATTGTCCCGTACTCAAGATTAACAGTATTTGATTGAAATTTCAGGTACGCAGGGGGAAGGAGACGGCGCTCCGTACTGTGAACCTTGGCTGAAAAATCACTTTACGCGTGGATGCTGGGGTGAGTAGCTTTCATTGTGATGTATCTGGATTTGCTATGTTAAGCTTGTGTGGTCATAGCTTGCAGGGTACCTGCAGACACCCGGTGGAGGAGGTGATGGTACAGAATAAGCGAGTTGATATCTGTTGTACTACGTGTTAACATTTAATGTCACTATCGTATAATAATTGTAATGTAAATTATAATTGTAGTTAACGCCTATGACATCTGGATTATGTTGTGTTCGTATGCAGTGAAAATAAAATTGTGGAGATGGACTGATATTATTGGAGAACGAATCGCAAGCTGACGGTGGAAGAATTAGCGACAGTGAAGGGACTGCGTACGAGTGTAAGCACGGTCTAAAACGTATACAACACCAAGCAGTGGTACATTGCGCCCCTGCAACCGTCAGCTAAATTATAATTTAGTTAACGCCTATGACATCTGGATTATGTTGTGTTCGTATGCAGTGAAAATAAAATTTGCATCACGCTTAGTTTTTGAACGGAGCATCCGATTTCTTCAAACTGTCCACGCTAGCGGGACCATCCGCGCCTCCTGGTCGACGTCCACAATATGTAGATGTTGGTGATATGCCGCCAACATCCGCATATTGTGATCGCCTTCTTTCGTTCACATATTAGCTATGCACGGGCACGCCGTAGGCGGTCCTGTTTTGAGTACTCGGAACTTCACTTTATTAATATCGCCAATATTAACAATAGTAGACGTACAAGAAAAGAAGACTCCCCTTCATTACACGCGCATAGCAAGGCTTGTAACGTCGTCGGTCACACAGGCGTTGGTCTTCGTTCTTTAGTGGTCGTGAATGAGACATGAGAATGTTTTACGGAAACTGAATGCACTTTTGCGTGGGAACGTAGGAGGTAATGATTTATAATCAGATAAACATATATGTACGTAAAGATTTAATTTCAAAAAATCGGTTAAGCCTCACAGATAAGATATCACATTAATCATGAATACACAAAACAATATAATAATATAGAAACAAGGGGACTATATGTAGATGTGACAGGAACGTTGGCAGATTTTCGAGTGATACAACTATCACTGAAGGTGGACGCAGACGCCACTATTTGCTATCCCAAATACGCTGCGTTGTTCCTCCACGGAGAGATGTGAACCTTGAAACAGAAGCAAAATTACAACCGGAATCCAGTTCTAGTTTTAAATGTTAAACAGAAAAATGTTTTTGTAGGGCTCATGTACTTGGGAGGGGCCATTGAAAACGAGGCCTTCAAAACCGTGACGAGGTGAGACCAAGCCAGGTAGAGGAAGATAACAAAAACTGCTCACCTTCTCTCCCAAAGTCCCTTCCCCTCCCTGAACCTAGTCACAAATACTGTGACTGGCTCATTCACTTGGAATGTACCCCCCTAACGACATGAGCGCCTATTCGTGCATTCTCAAACGAGTTATCTAACCCTAGAATTTCTCATACCTGTGTATGGATAGAGTTCGGTACGATGGCGGCAAGTTCCTGCTCCAATTTCTCGGCCAAACCAGGCATAAACGACGCTTCGCCAGCAAGATAGATGTTTCTGTAAGTGATACCTTGTATTCAACGCTCAACGACGTATGCAAAACCTGCGCTTCATAACTGTAATCGCGCCGCGATACAACAAGTGTTTACAGTATAGATACAGATACAAAAGGCTCCACGGTATCAGATTATAACGAAATGAAATCAGAAATCTCAAAAAAAAAACAGTTGTTACGTATATACCTGTAAAAAGTCGTCCTGCTGTCAATCGGGCTCATCTGTACCGCTTCATGTACTAATTGATGCAAGCCTTTTGTGTTGAGGCCCCACTTCTTCGGGCGGAACAGACATTCCGTACATAAAAACCGTGAGTTATCGACCTGTAACAAATCATACGAAAGTGGATGGAGCGACTTGAGAGGGTTATAGAAAGAAGGGAATATAGAAAGAAACAAGTGACGTCAAACTCAGATGAAAAATGCACGCGGACGGCTAGTGCCAGTAACACTAAACTGGGTTCACTGTTGACAGTCCATCTACCCACAGTAGTAGGAGTAACAGTTGAGGGTACCCAAGAATGCTCGCACGGCAAGTGTTTTTCGATTCAGTTAGTCATTTTATTTGTTTGATGTATTTATTCAACACAAAGTACATCACTTCTTGAAGGCTCTGCGTCGCATTTCCTACTTGGTACATCAGCAATTTTATCATTGATCAAAAAACGGTGCTTAGTGAGGTGAGGGGGGGGGAAGCGGGAGGGAGAGGAACAACCGGCGTGCTGCGTCTCTCAAGCACAAAGGGTGTGGTCATATGCCGCAGACACCACGAGTCATCACACCCTCTTTGTGCTTCCACGGCAGGCACACTAAGCTGTGCAGGATAGATTGAGATAGCTGGCCGCATATAATCTGTAACTTCTCCGCTAGTTCTGCTCGCGTTGCTGTCTCCCATCACCAGCTTGGCTGCCTGCCTACCTATTCTGTAGTTAATTTCTTATTACTGGAACAGTATTACGAGGAAACTCATTTTCCAATCGCTGGCTGAAGTCCCCCATGGGCTACCGACCAACCTGTCGATGGCCAATTTTTCGGAACTGGCTCAAAATCCCAATTTTTTCTAAAACTTCTACTTCAGGAATATCTAATGCTCTGATCACGAATATGACATTTATTTTTCCAGACGGCTCCAATTTATGCCACTTCAGCACCATTTGGCGCCCCTCTGGCATCATAATTTTCTTCGCCATAATGTAATAAAATCTTGAGTTCAGTATTTACTGGTGGCCCTGAAATTGAATTTCTTATCTAATTTAGATTATAGTGAAGCGTTTTCGATTTATCATGGATTGATTGGTTTTCAGCTGAGGCGCACACAGAGTCAGCGCTACTATGGTAGTGCTCTGAACGAGTCAACAGATGATGATGAACGTCCAAGCACACTACACATTGTGAGTTTGAGTTCCGTATGTATTCTCACCATTAACCACAATGGAGACACCATAATTTCGAATCTGAGAGAGTGGCTACTGCGCTTCTATGCACCGCTCGCACACTTATAAACTATAAAAATACTCAGAATATGTGTGTCTATCTGCTTGCTACAAGTTTGTGTTCCCCCAGAAGTTTGTAACTGTCGCTTGGAACTTCAGCTGGGAAGGGGGATCATGTTTGGGGCGAATAGAGCATGAGCCAGGCTGCACGAGGCAGGCATGGGCCATAAACTCGCCCAGGGTTTACAATGTACCAATTAGAATTCTGCAAAAAGTCACCCATGATTGGGAGTGTCTTTGGATTTGACGTGGCCGTCGGCGCACTTGATAGGAGCCGTGCGGACATGACAATTCTAACATACTCTGCTGGATATCAGCAAAGCAACTTGCAGCGACTTCTAAGGGCAAATTCTATCAAGTGCGATGGCCGCCACCTCAAACCCATAGACCTCTAATCTAACTTTGAGACATGAGTACACATACATTACATACATCCGAGTCCTTCAAAATCAGCGGAACCAGGTGAGTCCGGACAGACTGAGGCGCATCTTTGCGGGACTCTCAAGGTCATGCCACCAGTCAGTCCATCCTTGGCAGACGTCTTTTGCACTTGTTTCGCGCACAGCCAAACTGATTGTACAGTTATTCTCCCTATTGAATTGAGCGGGGTACTGTCGTATACTAGGCAATGAATGTTTCCTATCGTTGCAAGTTCATAGGGGTTGGTGTTTCAGATTTCAGGGCATAACGCGCCAGAGGCCCATTACGTAATCAAAGGAGCGATTAGTTCCGAGAGTGTGAGAGAGCTATCCGCATGAGTGAATGACTCGCTGCTCGAAAGAAAGCTACAAGAGGTTTGAGGCGCTTCATGTGTCTTCTCCCTGTGCTTTTCGCTGAAGTACGTCCGACTAACAAAAAGGGAAAGTCCTAATTTTCACGAAGCTTTTGCTATTTCTCTTCCCTTTCTCCTCAGCGATCCATTTCGTTTCTTGCTTTCATTAAAGGGCGAATAATTTCAAGATGCGTTGTGGAACGCTTCAAAGTGATGGTTTATATAGAAAAAAAAACACTTAAGACGCGAAAAATCACCACCATTAAAGTACATAGAAAACAGCTATATAAGACGCTGAAAAATGTCATTCTTATAGTAAAGCTTTTGAAGGAGGAGCACCACAATTAACAATGAAATCAAATGTTCATAAAGCCCCTTCTAACCAGCCGTCTAAATTAACCCAGAGATCTCAGGAGGCAAATATCGAGAACACAACACGACACCACACTTTGGAGACCGCACATTTTAGGCTTATTGATAGCGTAGAACGTAGTGGCATTTGATGAACGTATCGAGGAAAATGGGGAGGGAAACTCATTTTCTGAACTAGAGAAAAACTATTTCAATAAGATACCCACCAAAAAACAAACGAGACCGGTTATCTCGCGAAAAATTGCCTGCGAATTCTCATAGAAAGCA